ATAAATTAAAAAAATACAAAAAAAAAAAAAATCAACAATTTCACTCTTATTTTCAGAAAGTCCCATGTGATGTGATGTACTGTGCAGAGACCCCTTACTACGTCCTCTTCTTTCAAAAGTAAGAAAACTGACAAGTAGACCCAAGACTTCTACTGTTCATCGTTGATGGCAAAAAGGCAGTTACAGCTCTACGCATCCGGCTTAACCGTACAACTGCAGGATCCCCAGCGAGCTGTCGGAAGGCTTTTCCTCTGACCAAAGGAAGAAGGACTTGATACAATGTTCTTTGGCTGCAAGTTCTTAAAGGCTTCCATTGAAAGGGTTCTCCTTCAAAAAAAAGAAAAACTGCAGTTGCTGTGGGATTTTTTTAGTAAGCAAATGTTGAGGAATAGGTGGAACCGATGTAATAGTTTGAGTGAAGCCCTCACAGTGCTAAGATGTTGGGGTCTGCTACAAATATTCAAGTTCCAAGGCGTGCCGAAGAGCTTCCAGGTCAGCGTGACAAGAGATTCTCCAGAATGGCATGTTGTGCTAGAGTGAAACCAAAAGAGGGTATTTTTTTGGGTTTTGTTTAATAGTGAGATCAAAACAACTTTCTTAGTTTGCACCTTCAGGCACAGAGCTTTGTACTTGGGCCACCAGGTTGTCACGGTGTCACAGGTAAGGAGGCTCACTCATCTCAGAGAAGAAGGAAAGGAGTGGAGCGTGTCTATTTGCTGGTGTGTTCCTCCTATGCAGAGAGGAAGACAGATCCTCCACAATTTGGGAATGTCCTGCTTCAGAGATGACGCAGGATGTGGGCTGACTTTCTGAATGTACTAGCTACTAAACTTTACTCTCCTATTTTTTTTCACGGATTAATTAGGAATGTTTCTAGAATTGCAGTACTCCTAGAAACACTTTTCTTGCCACTTAGCGATATTGACCTATCGTAACAAGTCATACAAGAATCTTAGACTCTCCAGAAAGCATCATAATCCTGTCCTAAAACACCAATTTCAAAGTCATCCTACTTAATATTAGCGAAAGCTGTTGCCAGTGCTTCACAGACAAGTGAAAAATATGTACTGAAAAATGAAGTCATTAAAATTTATGGCATTAAGAATATAATACCACACAGAGTCAAAATGCTTTCTGAAAGTTCCTTTCCAAATTAACTGGAACTGTAGGTCATACTGCATTTTCAGGAAATGTAGAAACTGGCAACATTGCTGCCTCAGAGAAAGGCTTAGATGACAGCTTGTCCTCAAGAAACTTTCCTAAATTCGTTTTTGAGAGACTCTCTTATATATTTCTCCTGCCTCCCTGGTTTTCAATTCATGTTTACTGTGATAAATCTGAAGTCATGTATACAAATGTCCATGTTCTAACCAACCAGTTCCACTTGAAGTTTTAGTATCTGGACAAAATCTGGAAAGGTGAACTATCTGTGACCTACTTTATAGTATCTTGATTCAGCTCCTGAAAATTGTGAATATTATCTAGGAATATCCGACTCACATCTGAATAGAGGACAAAGTACGAACTTTTTTAAAAAGTGCTGTGATCAAGGTCTGCTCAGTTACGCAGGGGACCCAAGATGGAAAGTGTAATCCAGTACTTTACTACTGGTCAAGTACAAACAGTACTCTGAAAGCATCATCGTAACAACACAGTTCTGCCATCATTAGCAATAGCTAAGATCCCTGTGGTGGCTTGCAAAGAGATAACCTCAAAATAATTAGAACTTCCTTTTAGATGCAAAATACACCCTTTTCTTGGCATGTTCTGGTGAGCCTGGGGTTTGAACTGGGTTTGTTTCTTATCCAAAACAGTTAAAGCAGTTTTACTTTAGACCTAGATCAAAGAGAAAGCTCATTTCTGCACTTAGATTTTATAACAACGTTTGGGCTTGAGCTTCCTCCCAAAACACTGGTCTCTGTACAGTCAGAGATATATATGCAGTAATAAACCTACAGAAAGCCTTAACTGACAGATCTTACTCCCTTTCCAGTGTCGGAATAGATTTCTGAGTATGTTATCACTGTAAATGATTCGACTATAAACATACTGCTTCTGTTTAAATAGCTTAGACAGTGCTTTAGACAATATATACTTCCTCGATCGACGATTCTGATGAAGGGAGATGTTCCAAGTGTACCTACCTGTGTAAAAAAAAAACAACTCCAGTGGTTCCAGATGTTTGTTTTACAGAATGTCTATGTACACTGCTCTAATGTTTAAACACAACTCAAGCTTCCCTTTGGTATGTTGCCTACCAGTAAATAAATGTTTCCTTCAAGCTATTTATAGAGACAGCAAGCAAGCACAGACATCAGAAGTGACTGAATCCATTGCTCTGCAATTTCACTTTAAGGGGAAAAGTTATTTCCCTCTCCCTCCCCCTCTCCTGGTTGTTACTAAACCACTTCCATTAAATTATCTATTTTTCTTTCTTAAATGAGAAGAAAACTTGGTCTCCCAGCCACTCCTGTTGTTCAGCATTCACAGATTTATCACTCATCAGACAGGTGAAGAAAAACGACCCATTAAAATGGAGATATTATCAGTGCTGTGGGCAGAACAGTGAAAGGCTCTGCCTGTGCCCCCCTTCTTTTGTGTATAAAGCTCAGGTGTGTGGAAGCCCTGACTAATGATTGCCATCAATCAAAGGAGGCAACAGCCCAGCAAGGAATGTGCTCTGCTAATGGGAGAGCTGCTCAGGCCAGGCGACACAAGCAAGAGGGCTCTTGAAATCCTGCCTATGGAAGATCGCTGAACCTTCCCACTTCTTCATCCAGCCAGAGCCCTTGCAGCCTTTGATGCAGTCATGGTCACTGACCCGCTGCCTTTGAAGTATGGCACTGCTCCCTCAAAAGCAGCAGGCTATTATCACTTCATTCCCAGTCATGCATTTTGGACTCTTCCCTGACAACTCCTTAACCCTTCAGGAACTAGAGAACCATCTGCAGATTTAGCTCGTTTTCTAAGGTGGGGCAGGTATTGTTGCTTCCTTTAGCTGGGGAAATACACTACAAAAAAGAGGATTTCTGCTGCTTTGAAGATGACCTGGGATACAATTCTGGGGACAGACCATGTGCCTATCACCTTATTTGCTGGGATCCCTTTATTCATGAGCTTGTATGCCCAATGAACTCAAATTTGCTTGGAAAGTCTTTCTAGGATCTTCATTCAGAATGAGGTGTCAGGTCCTCCAGCACAAGGTTCAGCTGTACAGCTGAGCTCCTGTGACGTAGTGTGCCTATTAAAAATTAACTAGTTTGCTGAAGATGGGACTCATGCAGTCAGTTCCTGCATCTCAACTCAAGTGCAATGCTCCTGAAGCAAATGCAGCTCAATCACATTTCTGCAGTCACATCAGCAGCACAAGATCCCGGATGCACAAAGACATCTTCCAAACAATGCCTGCCATTAACAAGTTGTATCCCTGCCCCTGTAAAGCCAAATAAATGAAGATTCTAGGCAGGCTTCTGTTCTAAAGATTAGAAAATTAAAACTTCAGCTGTTCAATTCTCTGGTACAATTCAGCTATGTACCAGACTGCCTTCTTTCAGCTTTTTGTTTGTTTCTCTCCATGTTTCTACCACTCTTGGGTTTCTGTAATACACTGATATCCCATGTGTATGGCAGAAGATATTCCTTGCTGGATCTCTAGCCTCCTCCCTCCCTAAATCACTGTAGGCAGAATCCAAGCTTTGGTCTTCTCAAATTTTGTTTTCCTCTCTTCCAGGCTCTGGGGTTCCAGCTCCTCTCCTCTTACAGAGTACCCAAAACAAAGAAGCTTTAACTGGTCCCTAAGACTTCAGTTCTCATTTCCCCATGAGTGGACTGTGGATACAAATGACTGGAGGACTCACCTGGATGCACAGGTTAGTCCATTTAATTCTTCCCACAGCTACCTATGTCAGTGGGCCACATCTATGCAGTGAGCATGAAATACTATCAAGGGCTTGTTATTCCTGCTTCCACAGTTTCTGTTCTCCTTTGTATTCAGTACCCCTTCCCACTTTCATTCTGCTTGTGAAATTAATCACATTGATCCGTAAATCATTGATAAAGGCAGCAACTCAGTACTAGTCCCTTGGGTATTCACTCTAATGACATTACAACCTATGACTTCAATGAGTCATAAATATAAATACATGTATGCATATATGTATATTCTAGTAAGTAATTCAAAACTGATTCTAATAACTTGGAATTTACAAAAGCAACACGTGTAGATCAGAATTCACCCTGCCTGCTCATCTGAGATCACACACTGGAGTTTTCCTTTTCATGTGTTTAAAGCAAGAATGATTCCCAGAACATGTAACACAGTGACTACCTGAAAAATTGCACTAGCTGCCAAGGTGGGGGAGATTTACAGCAGGAAATTTCTCACAAGGTTGTTGAGTATTTGAGACCAATTTTAAACTGATTCAAATGGAAGGAGCTTCCTTGAACGCTTAACTAAAGAAAGGGTCATTGAAATCAAAACTTAGAAGAATCCAGCACGGTATCCACAAACTGTACCTTTTTTGCTCCCTGTTCCTCTTCAACACCATCTCCTATTACAATGTACACGGCTTTTCTTCCAAACCTTTGCATTATTCTTTCAAAACAGCTCTCTTT